AGGAGGGCAAAATTGGTCAAGTGGGGGGTTGGAGGGGTGGTGGCAGACTGGAGAGGTATGAGGTTGGCCAGGTTAGCAGCGCGGGGGTTGCCACGCGAGGGGGGGCAGTGGAGCAGAGGAGGGGGGCTTGATGGTGGGGAGAAATGGCTTGTTATTTGTGTTGGGAGGCGGAGGGGAGTGGAATCCGCTCAGGGTATTCCGTGCAGCTGGGAGTGTAGGGGAGCAGGGGAGAGTGTAAGAGGAGCAGTAGGAGCTGCGTTCTGATGACGCGTCAGGTGTGCGATGGGTCGAGCAGATGGATGCTATGGATTGTCCGTGCTGAAAGTAAATAAAACTGCGGCGGGTGCTTCGGTGAACAAAGCCGGGTCGACGAAGGAGTCCAAGATGTCTGATGAATGAGATGGAAGACGGGGTGGAGGAGTTGGTGAATGACAGAAGCTGTGAGATGGAGTATTTCAGCATGATGACAGGCGGGAATGCTGGGAGCAGTGTGTTAGCAGCGATAGCGGATAGCGGGCTAGGTGCACAGAGGTGGAGGATTGTTGCGGAGACGAGGAAGATCCACGACATGGCAGGAGGATGTGAACAGCGGGACGGGACAGATGCACACCAGAGATGAAGGCAGGAGGCAGTGAGAGTCGACGGTTGATGCGTGTAGCGATGTAGCAATAGCCACCCGGCACTTTGTTGGCTGAGTGAGGGCAGCCGGCTACAGCCAGCAGCGGAGGCAGAAGTCCAGAATAAGTTAAAATTAAAAACAATGTGCAATTTAGAAAAGATGTGCAATGCAATGGCAGTAGTCAAATTTGAATGTTGCGAGAAATAATGGTAGCTGAGGGTAACAGAGGCGGAGAAGCGGTGAGCAGTCAACGCCAGCGTCCTCTCCTATTGCAGGGGATAATAATAAATCCAGCAATAAAGGAATCTGAAATGGCTCATTCTGCATAATGAGTATTTGTGCTTTAAGAATATTGTGATGCTATCATTTTTTCTACTTGTACCAGTCTTAATGCTTGTATTTACTGTAGCAGAGTATTTATACACTGTTGTATTTCTACTTTTACTGTATAATGTTACTCCCACCACTGACAGTGTGTATGGTAGATGAAGCAGGGTCAGACCTGGGTCAAACTGGATGAGAGCAGCGGTGCTGTGAGTGAAATCTCTCCCCGGTTTGGCCGAACCTTCCTCCACCTGCACAAACACAACATTAAACAAACACTAAACACTGATTTATTGGTCAAATATTGAAAAGATACTTAATTGACAGCACTTAAAAACTAAGTAAGCCAGCCTGGACAAAGAGGTCTCACTGGTACCTGGATGGCGACGTATGCTGGGTCGGCGCTCCCCCCACTGCGCTGGATGTGGATCTGAAGCGTTCCCACCGTCTCGCAAGTTCTGTAGCAGGTTGCCGACAGCTCCACCCGGGACCAGGACAGCTCCAGTCTGCAGAGACACTCTGAGTCCTTCACACTGAACACACACACACTGCAGTATGTGACACATACAGAAGGTTTGGGTAGTTTTGAAGTTTGTGACGCTGCGTGTGTTGGGTGAAGGCAGAAGATACCTTAAAACCAAATCTATCGGCTGAATCTGAGCTTCGTACTTAGAAGAGAGGGAATACTGTATGTCGTTTTTAGTCATTTTGGTTAAATAGGTTATACTACTTCTTAACATACAGTATGAAGAAAATACTCCCCAACACCTGAAAAAGGAGGGGGAACCCTGGTAAATTAGCATTGTGATTTAACCAGATTTTTTTACTCAAAATCGTACTATTTCAATTTTCTTCTGTTTTCATTTTCAACGAGGAATGCACCCAGCAGATCAGAGTCCTGCACGGGTCTGATTTTCAAGACCCGCTCCCGCCCAGCACCCGCGACGTGCAATACCGAACCCGCCCCGCTACCCGCACATATTACCAATTAGTTCCGCAACCCGACCCGACCCGTCGGCACAGGATCCGCAACCCGACCCGAACCCGCATATATATATGAGCAGTGAAAACGTGCAATTATTAACACACGCAGTTGCATATTTCTCTCTCAAAAAGCGTGGGATGTTGGTTATTTTCTCCATCTAGGACAGGGATGGGCAAATGGCGGCCCGCGGGCCGCATGCGGCCCCCACCTCCTCTTTTTGCGGCCCTCAGATTAATTAATAAACAACGTAATTAAAAATATATATTTTATATTTTTATTTTTTACTTGTAGTATTGATACCGTCCACTAGACTCCTAGTTACGTCGCGAGCTGCGTACATGATTTCAAATACTGCAAAAATAATCTGTGACGCATTTGTGTGTATTGTGTTTGTTTCCCGGGGAAACCCTTACAAGAAACACCGGCTGTTGTTATGCCTGCTGTGACGTTAAGTTGTAATTATGCCTTTACAAGCTTAAAAGTTGTATTTATCATCTGAATTTGGCGAAACAAGTTTAATATTCTTAAAACCAAGACTTTGTTTATTTGAAATCAGATGAAAACAAACTTTCACGGACCCTGCCGTGTTATCTTACTACGCTTTTCATTCATAATTTCAGCGGGAGGGAGGGGGAGTGGTGCTGAGGAACAGCAGAGTGCGGGCTGACAGGTGTCTGTGTTGACATTCCCCTTATTGTGGAATAAGGGGAATGCAGAGACTGGCTACAAGTGTTTTAGGTTCAAGTTAGACAACTAATGTCTGGGTTAGTTCTCATGACTTCATGTGTATGTCATCTTAATGGTTAATCTCAATACACACACATTTTCCGTGCTTTCCAATAGTTTAAAATAGTTTTATTAAACTGTTTAATAACCTGTTCAATACAAACATGCCACTTGTAAAAATGAAATAACATTTCTGTGAACTGATATTTGTTTAGTGAGCTTATTAGAGGATGTTCCCTGAAAGATTGTAAAATGTCAATGAAGATGTCAGACTTAGTATATTTGTTAATAATTACATACAACACATGGCATTTTTGTGTGTGTGTGTTCCAAGTTAATCTGCGGCCCCTGGTGGCCAGTACATCAATGATGTGGCCCCCACCACAATGAAAGTTGCCCATCCCTGATGGAGAGGAAGAGGTTTCAGTAATGTGAGGAATCAGTCCAGTTACAAAAAACAATTGACGACTAACACACTAACCGTTGGGGTCGTAAGAAATTGGGAACCACACACAACGTACTACAAAACAATGAGTCGTCACAACCCACCAGACACGTTCGGCGACGGAAAAACCAAAAAGTTAAGATTGTGTTAGTTTTCGATAAATACAAATTCTTAAGATTGTCTACAAATGAACCATCCAAGTAGAGTTAATGTTCGTTATGATTTGTTGCTACGCAAATATAAACGGAAAGGAATGGAAAGCAATCTAGTGTAATAATAATTTTCACGATGCAACAACAAGAAAACGGGCAGACTGCCCGATCCAGGAC